CAAAATAAGGCAAGCTATAATTTGGGTAGAAATTAAGTGGGCTAAGATTGCAATTACGCGTCTTCTTTATCCAGTTTTTCTGTTACTCGGAACAGCGGGAGGAAGAGGTGAGAGCACAAAGAGCAAGCGAAATGAGTCTGTGAGATCCAGAACTCGGAGAAGGTAGCAAATCAAACCAATCGTCAATTTTCAAAAGAGAGCTTTTGCTGCCAAAGCTTGAATCTCTTGAAGCTGATGAGGCTTTTGCAGTTGGCGTTCGTAGTATCTCTACTGTTTGGATTGGTCGCCATCCTCATCTACATCACTGGCGTCTCCGATCTCTGTATGCATCTCTCTCTCTCTCTCTCTCTCTCTCTCTCTCTCTACGCATGTTGAATATGTATATGTTTATATGTATGATTTGAATACTGTGATATAGATGAGACGCATCGGCTTACCGAAGAAGATGTGGAAGCACTGCAATCTCTGCAGACCGGTTTCCAAAAGTGTGTGGTGAGCCTTCTCCTTTTTTTTCGATTTTTCGATTTTTTTTCTTCTATGAATTGAAATGTCTGTTTTTTTAGTATATATGTATATACATATAAGTTTATATGCTTTTGCTGTGGTAGCGGATAGTAAAGTATGTTTAATTGAAGTATTTTTTGTGTAAGAAATGTTAGCATTTTGTGCCTGTTATATTCATCTAGAATTTATACGCCTTGGTACTTGTTATACCGAATGTTGTGATTGGTGGTCTAACATTGCTTATTTACGTACCTGCTTCATATGATTATGATGCAGGCTGCAAATGGATTAGGTTTGCAAGCTTCGCTTGGTAAAGATTACTGTGAAGTCACAATGCAATTTCCCGGTGATACGATTCCTAAATGGGTGAATTTTTTCTCCATTGAAATGTTCCGAATTTACAAATGAGATTTTATAGACAATTGCGTTTATGAGTTGGGATAAGATAACCATAATCTTTAAAATTAAAAGAAGCATTGTTAAATCCCTTTTTGTATTGATTCATTTTCTCTTCAAGCAATGCTCTACAGAAGTTGCAATGTCTTGGCATCTCTTTGGGCGATTTTGTGGTTGTCGACTAATATAAGTTGCTTCTTTAGGCTTATGCATAGTCTGAATTTTATGTGTAAACAGAAAGATACCAAAACCGGTGAGCTTGAAGGCTTATCGTATGAGTTTAATCTTTGTGAAGCTGTGGCTACATGGGAACAGGTGAGTATTCTATCATGTCTCCTAATGTATGTATCATTCATAGCAATGCACACGACTTAGGAACTGAGATCTGTCATTTCTTTGTCATCAAATGAAACTTGCAAGTGTGCATGTTGAAATCAATTCTTCATTTTTCTTAGTACCTTTTTAATGTCAAGTTTGATTTTGTTTTTGTTTTATGCTTTACAATTGATTTGTTATTCAGTGAGTTGATTGCTCAGGTGCGGAATAGTACCACAATACTGACCAGGGAGTTCATTGATTCCTTACCAAATGGATGGGAGAATTATGCATGGCGTAGGATTAATAAAGGAGATCGTCTGTGAGTACTGCTCAACATACAAGTTTTTGAGTGGACAATTATTGGATGAATGTGTAGTTGATTTAGCGTATTTCTGTATTGCAGCAACCGCTGTAAGAATAAAACATTATGTGTGGAAAAACTTTCACTGGTGCTCCCGGAAACACCACCATATGTTCCACGGATGTTTGGCCGATGTGCTGTGATTGGAAACTCGGGAGATCTTTTGAAAACAAGGTTTGGGAAGGAGATTGATGGGTATGATGCTGTTATTAGAGAAAATGGTGCACCAATTCAGGTCAAGCTGCTTCTATATTAAGAGTTAGAAATAATGATGGTTACTGGACTTTGAGAAATCTTCTTACCTTTTTGTTCTACTACAGAACTATACCGATCATGTGGGGAAGAAAAGCACATTTCGGCTCCTTAATAGGGGATCTGCTAAAGCTCTTGATAAAGTAGTGGAGTTAGATGGTACGAGAACTGGTCCACTTACTTTATAAATATTGCATATTACTAGAAGTAACACTAAATATACAAATCTTGCAGAGTCAAGGAAGGAAGTCTTGATCATCAAAACAACAATTCATGATGCTATGAACCAGATGATTCGGGTTTGTACATTGTTTTTTAATAACTTGTCTTGACTTACTCCACCAAGTACTTGTTGCTGCGTATCCATTTAACTGCAAACAGTAATGTTGTTTTGTTTTTACAACTTTTGGTTTTGCCTTGCGCAGGAACTTCCAATAAAAAATCATGTATATCTCCTGCTAGGTGCTTCCTTTGGTTCTGCCGCAAAAGGAACTGGGCTCAAGGCTCTTGAATTTGCGCTCTCTATATGTGACTCGGTAGATATGTATGGTTTCACTGTAGATCCTGGATATAAAGAATGGTAAAAATAATTTCCTTCTGCCCCTGCTGCAATTTCTCCTACAAAATGTTTCCTCACTATGTTAAAATGTTTATCTGATTGAGGATCTTGAAACATCCTTTCAGGACTAGATATTTCTCAGAATCTCGACAAGGTCATACTCCTCTACATGGTAGGGCATACTACCAGATGATGGAGTGTTTGGGTGTAAGTGTTTAATGCTCTCTTTTTGTCTGTAATCTGGATATATAAGCTGTATTAGTAATTGTATCTTGAAGGTGGTATGGGGGAAGAATCCCTCCTTCTATGGATTCCAGATGGTAAATTTTTGTTGTTAAGTCAACAAACCTTGTCTCTTTCAAAAATGTTTTTTTTTTCCTTTCAATAAATTGAAATTATTTAAATAAGTTTTAAGAATCCAGAACTTTAGTGTCCTTTGTTTGTCTATTTGAAAATAGTACTGTGGTGAGAAGAATGGTTAACATATACTTGATCATTTTTAATTTTTCTTCTTGTTATTGATAAGTTTTATTTCTCTTGTTAAGCTTATCAAAATTCATTCGCCTATTCGAGCTGATCCAAACCGTGTTGTGCAATGGGTACCGGACCGTAGTGCAGTTACTGCCTCTAGAATTGCATCAGAGAAATTGTTGAGGTAAACTTACAAAATTTATTTACTTCATTACAACAAAATTAGATTCTCTCTTTAAAATAAGCAGTAACTATTATCAGTGACCTGGAGTTCAACCAAGATTGAGTCATACATCTCTGTAAATCTCATATATCGTTCTTATAGTTAGGAACTTCTGACACAGTCCAACAATCCCATCCCATGAAAGAACTTAATAATTGGGGTAAGAGAAGAGGGTTGACAGTGATGGTACTTATCAAATCCAAGCACTGCTCCATGTCTGGCTATTTATATAGGAAACCTCTAGTCTTCACCTGATGCTCAATCTTTCCTGTACAATTCTGATTCAGTTCTGCATTGTATTGTGAGGGTTTTCAATCTTACATATTACATTATATAGTTCCACTTCAAAGTAGTAATTCTGCTTTTGTTCATTTCTATAGGAGGATTGGAGCAGGGTATGCAGACCCACTGCGTATGTGTTCAATTATAAAGAAGCAAGTCAAAATAAAGCTTACATCATTTCTAAGTCTTAGAAAGGCTGCTATTGACCACCAGAAATATGTGAAAAGTGCAACCATGTATCCTCTGGAGCATAGTCCGCGGCATGGTATGCTTTGCACTGTGTGAACCACTTAAAATTGAGGTTACTGGACCATTCCTTACACCGAAGCAACTAAGCGAATATGTACCTGAATCTATTGGTCCATAAGTGTCACCCTTCAGCTAAGGATGTATAAAGGAGAAGCTGCTCAAAATTGGTCAGGAAGATCAGCAGCTGACCTGCTCAATGTAGAGTTTTGAAAGCGTTGTAAGTTTCTCGTGGCCCTGCATTCATCATAACTTTGATTTTTGATAGCCAAAAGGAAAATATTAGCAGTGTCTTACAAGAATTCGTCGTATGAGGTTTTAGAAATGATTCTTTGGACACAAGGACAGGTCTATGATTTTATAATTCTCTTGTACCTGAATTCTGATCCAATAGTCTGACGAAAAAAATTAAAATTCTGATCCAATTTGGCTTCTTACCATGATTTAAAGTGCTTGTATGAATGGGGAAAATGCATGTCAAATCTGTAACATTTATCATCAGCATCAACTTCTTTCTTGGACATGATGGAGCATTCAAGCCAGGCTTTCATTGGGAAAGTAGCTGCAAGTGCAGGGCCTATTCTCTCTCATTTCCTCCTCCATTTGTTCTTTTCAATTTTTTGTGCCTCCTTAATTGTTCCTTTATTATTATTTTTATTTTCGCTATTGTTTTAATCAATTATTTACTTTCGATTAAAATAAAAAAAATAAAAAAACTTTTATCAAATAGATCCAAAACTGTTGTACGTTTTTTTGGTCGAAAAAACTGTTGTACGTCAGCACCTATCTATCATTATGGATAGAAACAAACAAATTGACTTTCCGGGATTGTCAAGGAACATCCTAGATGGCTTGTGAAGCTTCATGATTTGATGAATCATTTACGAACTTTTTTTATTTTCTTGAATTGTATAACAAAATATTGGAAAAATCTGGCTCTCTTCACAGAAGAGACATATCTTAGCGTTCAGAATTGAATTGGGCAGGTGCGCCTCTGCCTTTCATTGGAATTGGGGGGGACCAGCAGAACTTTACCATTCAGAATTGGAATCCGAGAGTGGATAGATAACCTAAAAAGCTAAAAACATGCAAGTGATGAGTGAATGATGTAGAGGGCTAAAAATCTAAGTCTCCATATTGGCAAAAAAAATAAGCAGAGCAGGGTTCAAAATACAACAAATCCATCCATACGCCATTTATAGATTTTGATCTTCTTTTTTGGGTCAAAATTTATAAATATTGATTTGATGGAGAGTAAAGATATCTAGTGGTCAATGGGACATTCCCATCTGATGATAACGTGGAGAGAGAGCCACGTGTCAGTCCCCTTTAGACCACAACACACCCACACACACACACACACACACTCTCTCTCTCTTTCTCTCTCTCTCCCCAAACCCCCAAAATCCAAAGTCATTCACTCACTGAAACCCTTTCTTCTCTTCTCTCTTCCCTCTCTCTCTCTCTCATCAATCACTTCATTTACTGTATCTCTCTCTCTCTAGAAAGCGACCAAAAGGACACTCTTGTAGGCATTGCTACAGTTGGCACAAGCGCTACATCCAAAAGGCCAAAGAGCGCTTTTGCTTCTTCCCCCGTTTTCACTTAACAAACACAGAGAAGGGTTGAGTCTCTTTTAAGAGAAACTCAATCCAGGCAACAGTAGGCTCTCTCTCTCTCAAAAAATTAGAGTAAATAAAAAGATAAAATCGGATTCGATGGCGGAGATACCACCACCGATGGGTCAGATCAACGGCGGACAACTCATGTTGGGTTCATCCGAGACCGTGGGATCGAAGCGACAGCGAAGGCCCAGCGTCCGATTGGGCGACATCGGAGGAGACCAGCCGTACGATTCGCACGTGCGACGCACCACCAAGCAATGGAAGCTCCCACTTGATCACCGGAAAGACTCCAATAAGTCCTCAAAGACTCGACCTTTAACGAATTTGAGCGCTGGTGCCGACTTCCAAGAAACCCTAGACGGCGAAGATAGAGAGGGAAATCTCGATAGTGTTGCCATTGGTAGCTGGAAGGTCAAGGACACCAAGAAAAGAGCTTCGAACACGAAAAGGGTCAGATCCAATTGGGTCTCTTCCAAGATTGACGAAGGTGGTGATGCTGCTGCTGCTGAAGGGGATGATAAATTTAGCGGAGGTGAGGATGTTGAAGATGGGTATCGGGATTTTGATGTCGAAAACTCGGAGTCTCCTTTGAAAGACCAGAGCCCACTTCATTCTTCCGACAATTTGGGTGTGGATGGACATTTGAATGAAAGGGATGTGCTTTACCATGGAAGTAGGAGACCCATTAGGACTAGGGTTTCGGAGGGGAGGGACCACCATGATGGTGTTGAGCTATCTGGGCCGTCGGATAATGATGCAAGGGATTGGAATTGTAGAGGGACTAGTGGGGATAGAAATGGGAATGAAGGCAGAGGGAGGTGTGGGGAAGATGGTGTTAGGGTTTGGCTCAATGGGCTAGGATTAGGTCGTTATGCCCCGATGTTTGAAATTCATGAGGTGGATGATGAGGTATTGCCCATGTTAACTTTGGAGGATCTCAAAGATATGGGCATAAATGCAGTTGGTACCAGAAGGAAAATGTATTGTGCAATTCAGAAGCTTGGAAAGGGGTTTTCTTGACTTCTGTTTTTGTGACTGTTGGCGATTGAAAGACCAAAATGAAGAAGAAAAAAAATCCTCAGCCATGGCAATGTAAGATACATGCCTGAAAGTAAAACTGGTTTGAGCTTTTGGTTATATTTTGCTCTCAAATCTCAACTCAGTGGTATTTTTGGATGAGTAGGTTTTGTTTCATTGCACTATTTACCTTTTCTTTAATTGAGTGCAAATCCATATTTTCTTTTTTATAACAATGCTGGACTAGTTGTAGTTTTTCATTGATCATAGGGAGACCATGATGAGAACTATCTTTTCTTAACTGGTTGTAGCCTTTAGGACAGAATGGGCAAGGGAAAAGCCTAGAATTGGTTGGAGGAAGGACCAATTGTTGTCTTTTCCTTTCCAGTCTTCATTTCCACCCAGGCATGCAGAATAATTTTGAGCCGATATCTAATGTATATAATGATTTCCCAGAGCTAAAGATGTCTTTTGTTGAATTTAAGCTATTTATCTATTACGTCTCTGGTTGTTATGATATCAATAATGTTGTATACAGAAAATTAGTGTATCCTATTTTCCTTCTGCAAAACATTCAGTACACTTGCTGCTGTGTTTTTGCAGTATTCGTCTGTGGCTTTTATTTGAAGCCAAATTTGGCTTGGGGATAAACTGATCAATGTGAAGAGGTATTTTCTGCGATTTTAATTGTAGACCTATTTGGTAGGTCAATGGCAGAGTGGAGATAGACAAGGAGGTGAATTTTGGATGGAAGTCCAACTTGGTTTGTTGTTGTTAGACCTGAAAGTTGAGATCAGATGTAAAGAGTTGCATAGTTCTCTTAGGGCATTTAACTGTAGATTGGATGTCACTCAAGGGATTTTCTCCCGATACATCCTTCATGTGCCCCGGCTCGGGATGTAGAGTCTAAGGGGTCAGGCGTTGTTGTTAGAATGTCCTTGATTAAGGAGGGTTGAAGGGTTATTGCTGAGATGTTGGCAGGGAAAGTCTGCATTCTAGTTAGGGCAGGGTTTGAATGTGATGAATGAGAGTTGGCTTAACAAAGGGGTTGGAGTTTGGCAGGGACATTAGCTGTGCGCCTCTTTCAAGAGAAAAGGTATAAATTCACATGTGAGAGATGATGTCTAATATTAGGAGTTGTGATACAGTCTTTCTTGCATTTGAATTATGATCTTCCGTATTTATGGCGACAAATTGGTAAGAGTGGCAGCGTTGATACAGATCTCAACTATTTATATTAGAATGATTTAAAATTAAACAAAATCCAATGTTAAGGTGATTTCCATATGATGATGATGTTGTGCAGTAGAGTTATATAGCTTTCACTAGTTGCATGTAGTTTCTCAACAATTTTCAGGAAGCAAATGCGAGTTTTATAGGGCAAGGCCAATATGTAGATATATAGATTCATTATTCTGGCATTTCCCGGGATATATATATCCACAATGATCAAGTCCGTATGTTCCACAATCCGGGAAGTTCCATAATGAGTGGACTTATGAGTTCTAGGGCCATTTCCAGCTCAATTCTGCTATCAGTTTGTGTTCTTTTTAGGGAAAATTATCGCCATTTGTATTTGATGTATCATTATCTGAAGCAGCATAATGTAAAGAATTTGCTTGGATAATTGCATTGCGTGTTTCAGGGTTTGGTTAGATCTTGTGAATTTTCATTACTCTCTGATTTTGAGACATGCAAGAATTCTAAGTTTCAAACATGGCTGATGACATATTTTGAATGAATGAGAGCTCACAGAGCAAAATACAATGCATTGGTCGATGGCAATTATAAAATGAGGATCAGATTAGAATGGATTTTGTCCCTTAACCGCCGCCTTTGGAATATATACAAGAAAGTTGAGTTTGAAACATAACTGATAACATATTTAACCAATGAGAGCTGCATCTGTACGTCTGACTAATCAAAATTTCATCGAGGATCACACAGTGAAATACAACAAGACCCTCCAAAAGGTCGCAGATACGAAACAGATTTAAAGATAATTGAATGCTTCATGTTTTCCAGCAAAAGCTTCAGAATGTCTGGGGCACAGTTTGATGACTGGATCACCTGCTTAGCCTTACAAATTTACAATTTTGAAGCCCCGAATTCAACTCTTTATTCCAATTTGATGGCA